CTTATAATCTTATTCTCTCGCCTTTTTTTTTCAATTGCCACGCCAAAAATTTTTCAGGTTTATTTGCCCCTTCAAACGATTTCTGTTGTAACCTTTTCAGGTTCCAATAAATTTCTTGGTTCATTAATGCATTCAGTTGTTCTTGCAGAATTTATAGTGTCCACAATCACTTGTTGATCCAGTAAATCTTCATTCAGTCGCCACCTGGGTTTCTTTCTACCTTCCGTTGTTATCCATAATATTGGATTATGGTCCGAGTTCACTTTTGGCATAATATCCACTTTCTTTGTTTTTAAAGCCAAGTTACCAGTCGCCCATATCATATCAATCCTTGAAAAAGAGTCATGCCTATTTGAATAAAAAGTAAGTCCTTGGTTGTAGGATTCCATTTCCTCCATATATCCTCCAGTTTCTCCTGTTTGGCCAAATTGAAAAACACTTATGTAACTTCCCTATTTTTTCATCTAGCTTCTTCGATTTCCTGTCTATTTTATTATCGACTGTACCATTAAAGTCTCCCGTCAATATAATTTGGTCATAGGTCACCTGATTCAATTCTTGAGTCAAATCTTCAAAGAATTTCTCTTTTGCTCCATTAGGGGCATAAATGTTTATCACCAGAGTTCTCTTTTGGTGCATAGTCATTTCCACCGCAATGTACCTCCTTTCTTTATCTTTAAAAATTTCTTTAGGTTCAAATTCTTTTTTAATATATATCACAGTCCCCCTATTTTTTTTCGCTGCCAATTAATAAAACTCTTCTCCTAGTTGTTTGGCGGCCAAATATTTAAAATCTTGTTTTTTAATATGAGTTTCTTGTAGACAAATCACATTACATTTGTTTTCCCAGCCAATGTTTCACAATTTTCCTCTTATTGGGTGAATTGAGTCCATTTACATTCCACGATATCAATTTGTAATCCATCATGACCTTCAATTACTTATCACCAAAGTCTTTAGCATTCTCATACATTAATTCCAACATTTGCCCCGTTGTTTTGATCGTCTGTCTTTGACCCTGAAAATTGAAGCTCAATCCTTGTGGTATCTCCCACCTGTATCTTATATCCAACAGTCTCAATTTGTCATTAAGCTTCTTAAATTTCTTTCTGTCTTGAACAATTACTCTAGGAAGCTCTTTCATTACTATTACCCAGAAGTGATGTTATCATACTGGGGGTTTCAGTCTTGCACATGTTGGAAGATATCTAGTAAAATTATTATGACTGCATTAAAAAAAACCCAACCCTTTTCCTAATAAAACCTAGCGTTTAGATTTTCCTTTGCCATATTACCACAAAACTCCAATGAAAATGATGCTGAACTGTGTACCCTAAACTTCACAGCACTCAGGGGAAGGATGTGAAATGTGGCTGAAAAATGGCCCCATCCGAAATGCTTTTGGGCAGGGATCCCCAACCTTTTTCAGCTTGCGAACACCTTTGGGAATTCGAATGCATAGTGGTGGGTGTAACTGCAAAATGGCTGCTGCAGGAGGTGAAGCTGGCTGCCACAGGAGGCGGAGCCAACCACAAAATGTCAGAGAATGAGAGTGTGCATAAATCTAACAGTAACTCTTCAACATTTCAGGCAGAAATTATGCTTAACAGGATGCCTTTTTAATTTTTTCCCCCTTACATACAGCTTACCTTCAGTAACACAGTGAAGATACTTGTACTGTGGAGGCAGCTACTGCTGAGGCAACTTTTAAAAGATCTGCACGGCTAATCAGGTCTCCAGTGGCCAATCAGAAGCCCTGCTTGTAAAAGCCCCACCTGGCCCCGCCCACCCTCTAAAAAACAGTTGGTGGGCACTCTGGAGCCCATGCTTTTGAGAATGGCATGAACAAGATTGCAAAAGCTATTTTTGTGGCCATCATCTTCTCTCAGCAGCCCCCTGCATGCTAGGGTTGCCAACTCCACCTTGGGGGAAATTCCTGGAGATTTGAAGGTGGAGTTTGGAGAGGGGAGGGCCTTCGGCATGCCATAGAGTCCACCCTCTGAATCTGCCTTTTCCTCCAGGGGAACTGATCTCTATAGTCTGAAGATGAGTTGTAATCCCAGGAGGATTCAAGCATCACCTGGAGGTTGGCAACTCTACTGTATGCTCGTGCGCACACACAGAGAATTGCCTATGGGGTTGGAGGATCTTCCAGAGCTCAGAGGGCTGCAATTTGGCCCATTCCACTGTTGTATGAGTGGTTTCTCCATTCATGGATCTTGCTCCATTTGCTTGGAGATGGGGTGGGAGTGGGTGGTTTCATCTAGTTCTCTCTTCTTACAGCCACCACTTGTGTCATGGCACATTGTTCCATGGAGTGACCCTCAGCATTAGCTTTTCCGGGGGGTGCAGAGAGCTGCCAAGAGGAGAGGAAGGCTTAAAATCGGCTTCCATGTATTTGCTGTCTTCATGGATCCAGCCCACTTTGTTTTAGTAATTCAGAAGTCATGTTTGGAAACAGGGGCATAGTTTTGTGCAGCATTTCAAAAGGTATTTTCACTCATTCCAAAAAAATGCTTGCTGTTCAAAATGTGCTTTTAATGATCCAGTAAAGCTTTGCTTGTTTATTCAGATGAGATATGCAGAATTGTAGAACCACAAGAGGAAGAAAAGAGTCTTCCCAGCAGCCTTTCCATGTGATCTAACCGTCTCTCTCCTTTTTTCATCTGTCCTCTTATCCGTCTTGATACCTGAAGGATAAAATCCAAAAACTGGCCGCCGCCTCCCCCCCCCATGCCAGCATCATCATAATAGTCAGTTTTCTGCTTTTTTTAATGATATCCCAAATCTTCAGCTTCAGGCAAGACACCTTACCCTTTCTGATGAAAAGGCCAGCTCTGATTCCGTGTATAGAAAGCCTATTTTATCCCAAAATAAATTAGACCATTTATAGCTTTTACTTGTGGTGGTGAGAGACAGAAATAACAATCAGGCTGTGTAAAATGATTCAGGGTTTCACCCTGGCTTACAAATTCCCCAGTGCTTTGCATTGCCAGAGTGAGTCACAAATGCTCACTAGACTGTAACATGACAGAATCTAAAATCATTCAAGGTGACCTAGCGTTAGGTGAATGAATGGAAAGTAATAGGTTACAATAAATTATTCTGAGAGCAATCACTGTGTCTCCATTGCTTCTCAGGTTTTGAGCAATCTTAGGCCCAAACTTTTGTTGTTGTTCAGTCGCACAGTTGAGTCCGACTCTTTGCGACCCAATGGACCACATCATGCCAGGCCCTCCTGTCTTCTGTTGTCCTCTGGAGTTTGCTTAATTTCATGTTTGTTGCATCGATAACACTGTCTAACCATCTCATCCTTTGCCATCCCCTTCTTCTTTTACCTTCAATCTTTTCCAGCATCAGGGTCTTCTCCAGTGAGTGCTCCCTTCTCATTTGGTGGCCAAAGTATTTCAGCTTCAATATCTGGCCTTCCAGGGAAGTCAGGGTTGATTTGTTTTAGGATTGACTGATTTGATTTCCTTGCAGTCCAAATTGATACAACGGGTATGCAGACCGATTGGGCAATCCTCCTAAATACTAATATCTAATTTTTCAGTCCATTCACTCACAGGTGGGGAGAGTTCAAAGAGCTCCATCACATCACCCTGGAAAGCATAACGCTCACATTCCTGTGACAGATGGAAAATAGTTTGGCAGGCTGCACCTCAATCACATTTGGGTCCTGTTATTTTCCCCATTTAAACAACAAGTCTGCACAACTGCCAAAGCCTGGCCATATTCTATTAGCCGTCTATCATACTTTACATGGCAAGTCTAATCCTGTGAGCCTCTCGTTGGTGTTTATCGGGTTATGGATATTGGGTGGAACTAATTGTATCCATGTTCACAACCATTCATTCCCTAGATCGAACTTTTGTGATTGCAGGATTCATGCAGATCTTATCTCTGGGTGTCGGAATCTTAGTCTGGATAGGCCCACGTCAGCCATGTCTTTGTGGATGGGGAACTCTCTGTTTTCAGTGATCTTTCTATATTCATGAAGAAGAGTATCTGGTCTTCGGATATGCAGGGGAGTGATGTGGCACAGTGTGGGTAGCCAATAGGTTAGAATGGGTTTAATATATCCGCTGATGGTTCTCATTGTTGTATTGAGTTGGACATCAAGTTTGTGGATATGGGGGCTGTTGAGCTACACTGAAGCACCATATTCCGTAGCACTATACACCAACCCCAAAGCCAAGCATCTAAGTGTTGTAGCAAGTTATGCCATGTAATTTTTGGAGAATGTTGTTTTGCATACATATTTTCACTGCTACATTGGTAAAATGGTGTTTATGGTGTTTATAGCTGAAGGTCCTGTCCGGGGTAATGCTAAGGTACTTGGATGTATGGTTGTGTGTAAGCTGGGTGCCATTAAGGTAGACATTCAGTTCATGGTTGTCAAGATTGTTCTTGAGATGAAAACAGTAGTATTCTGTTTTTCCTGGACTTGGGATAAGCCGCCATTTATGGTAGTAGTCAGCCAAAATTTGAGGTCCCTAGTCAGTATTTCCTCAGTCCTTTCAATTGATCTGTGTCTTACGGTAATCACCATGTCATCAGCATAAGAAATTTCCTGGATATCATCTTAGGAACATCAGAGATGTGTAGATTGAAAAGAACTGGAGTGAGGACCGAGACCTGGGGTAGACCATTATTCAGTTTCTTTCGCTTGCTGATTGACTGACCCATAATTATTTGGTTGCTTTCATTGTACTCATGTCATCTCATGACGAAAGTCTGACTACTGGCCTGCTCTCTGTGGTACTGTGTAACTCTGATGAATGCTTTCAAAATGGAACAACAGTTTTTCTTTCTGTGTGTGTGTGTGTGCGTGTTTTAAGTAACTTCCCTCTCAAATTGTCTCCACAGAAAAGAGTGTGCCTTCTGTGAGTGCTGTGGATGTTGCAAGAGTGGAAAGCCAGACAATACCAGCCTGGGTTACTATAGCAAAGCAAAAGCAGAGACTCATAGAACAGGAGCTGAACAGAGAAGAAAAACCCATGACTTATTTTAAAACAGATGCAGAAAAGCAAAAAAAAGAGACGGAGAGAATGGAGGTGATGACACCTAATCCACGTTTGGTTTCTTTCTTGTGTTGCAATGGCTTTCTTTTCTGGGATCTCTTGTGATCACACATTATCATTGTCCTGATGGTGTGAATTTAGCCACAGGATGTGAGGAAGGTTAGGCTGAGTGATAGTCACTGGCTGAAGGTCACCCAGTAGGATTCTGAAGCATGGCAAAGTAGGATTTTGAACCTGGGTCTACAACACACTGCCTCTCAGTATGAACCTAAAGCGCTTTGACGCATGTCAGTAAGGCTGTGTATAGACTATTTAACTTTTGCTAACGTACTCTGGCTGAAAGGATTATGAACATCTTCCTTGCCAATCACATGTCCATTTCTGAATAACCCAGGTTTATTTATTCCACACAAACCATTGCAAAACTTGCAGTCTTGTTCATTGACAGCTGCAGGCACCTGTTGGATAGTACCTTTTACATCTTACAAATGTATGTAGCTGCCTTATGCAACATCAGATCATTGCTCTTCCTGGCCCAGGACTCCACTCCAGTAGGCAGCCAGTCTCCAAGGAGCTCTCTTATCACTGCAGGCACCAGACATGATGCCCTTTCTTCCATATGATGCAGCTTCTGCATTTTCAAATGAGTTTTTTGAGGGGGTCGTATTATGTTTCATTTTATAAAGGGTAAGCACTTATCTTCGTTAGTAGGAGTGCTTTTGTAGCTTTGTTAAGTGAAAGGCCATGTCTTACTTCCAAAGAAAATTGGAAAAGAGTGTACACTATGCATCCCTCCCAAGCACCAGGATGCAGATCTCCCATGGTTTTTTTCTTTGTTAAAAATACAGGAAGTGATTTTTTTTTCCATACGCCAACGCTTCCCTTCATTCCATTTATACAATTGCAATATTATGATTGCTAGGAAGAACCAAGTGCCTTTTAATTGCCAGTGCATTGCTTCTGAATGTTGCTCATGCAGCATCGTTGGCATAAGGAGCCACTTTTAAATCAGATATTCATTCCGTGTGGCTGTGTGCTTTACAAATGTGGAAATTAAAATGCAGGCTGCACCCACAAGGTGCAAAAAAAACATCCATGCCACAGCAGCAGCAAGCCAGTGGGAATGGCATCTCCGCAGACCTGTTCCACTCCTCCTCCCCAGAGCATGGCTTGACAGGGAAAGGGGAGAAAGTCCTTTAAAGGGATGGAAAGGAGGGAACAATGTAGGACACTGAACTGCCTCATGCCATTTTGCAAGTGGTGATTCTTAGCTCGCTCCCTCCCATATGGTGTAAAGGATGGAGTGTCCCCACAGACACTCCGTAGATTCCCCTTTGAACCAGATTGAACCAGATTTATCTTTAATCTGGTTTAAAGGGTAAAGCCCCAGGAGCGTCACAAGTTGTGGATGTTTCCCTTTAATGTGGAGACTTCCCAGTTTCCAGGCAGGGAAAAAAATCCCCCCTCATTTGGAATGAGCCACAGTGTCAGTTTGGAAAGTGCCTTAAGTTCCAGTTAACAGGAAGAGACCCATCATACCTAATTTTAGGAGTGTTTGCATTTTTTCCTGAAAATATCTTTTTAAAAGTTTAAATCTTCCAACAGGGAGTGCACAAGTAGTGCAAAAAAAATTGTTACATGTACTACAAGTATAAATAGTTGTAGGATCAGATATTTATATACTACTAGCCACGTGTGTCCCCCATCAGCGGATAACTAAATCTGTGGATCAGGGCCACAGAGGCTAAAGAGATTTTCCCGCAAACTTGAGCCCCCCCCCCCCAGGTTTGCAGAAAAAATGGAAAATTAAAAAAAAAAATCCATTGGGGAGGTTAAATCCACCCCTCCAAATAAAAAAGCACTCTCTAGGCAAGTGCAGAGAACGCACTTACCTCCAACAGCACAGCTGCCTAGGAGCCATTCTGGGCTCAGCAATAGAGACATGGCACCCACGGAGCCACACTGGGCCTGGTGGTGGAGGAGGAGGAGGCTGCCAGGCTCAGGAGTCGCATCAGACTTGACATTGGGGAGATATGGAATTCCCCCCTACAGCTCACAGCAGTGGAGGGTGCCCGGTAGCCAGCAGCAGTGGAGAAGGACACTGAGCTCAGGAGCTGTGCCTGGATCCCCCCCTGCAAGTTTCCACCTCCAATGAGCCATAAGGGGAATCACCAGTGATGGGGGGAGGGATTTCCCCCTCTCTGTGAGTATTGTGTGTCCCCACTTGTATACGTATATTTTACAATTCATTTTGTCAAAAAAATATATTTTCCCTGAAAAAAACAAGGTACTTTTTCACATACCTATAAAGACTTGAGGTGGGATTAGAAGTCTTAGGGCTTCTAAAACTCCAATGGAAAAAAATGTCAGAATATAGAGAAATTAATCAAGTGCGTATACGCCCACGCACATAAATTTATATACATATACACACACACACGGTCCTGAATGCCAGCACTGTGATTTAAATTTGGAGCTAGGTTGCTAACTCATGGTTAGTGCACTCCTGGAGATCTGGGAGGTGGAGCCTGGGGAGGGTGAAGTTTGGGGCAAGGGAGAGACCTCAGCCATAGCAGCCATTTTCTCTAGGGTAACTGACCTGAAGGTTGGCGAGCCTATTTGGAACGTCATATATGGAAAAATGATACAGCAGTGCTGTTTTAAATGAGTTTTACCCTGTTCTGTTCCTTACATACAGCTTCCCTGGTGAATGAATGTTTCTGCATTGCATTGTGATGATAACTAGTGCAGTCTTTAAATTGTGAAAAGAAGACAAACTATGGCAGCTGGTTTAATCAAAATTGTGCACCTTTTCCTGTGGTTCATTTCTATGTTGAATGTTGCTTTTGGATCAGACCTCAGCACACAATAACAGCTTACTGATTTCTGTAAGAAATTTCCAAAGAGTAACATATAGGGAAACTATTTTCCAGTCTGCAGAATTTCCTTTGAATTGTCCTGGGTAGATTGACTTCAATGGGCTTAGAAGAGTGTAATTCTGCTTAGAGTGTCACTGTTAATCATTATTATGTAACCCAAGAGTCACTGTAAATTGCACTGATTTTAGCAGTGTACAGTTTACTTACATATGTGCACACTTTACCTTTCACTTAACGGGATAAACTCATCTTCCAAACAACGTTGATACCTTTAATTTATTTGAATGTTCTGGAAGATGTTTGTACATTCAGTTACACATTCGCTTTGGGAGGTGGAAGTGATTCTGAGCAGGGAAATGGTTGGAAGGACCTTCCCTACCCCCACCCACTCAAACTAGCAGCCTCTTGAAGCTGCATTGTGGTTTCTTTGTTTTTGTGTTAAACAAACCTTTGGGACAAAGCTGCAATAACTATGTGGTACTCTAGAAAGAGCAGGGGGTATTACTGTAATGCCAGAGTTTCTTGTCCATCACATGCCTTTGTCTGCCAGGCTTTCTTTGCATTTGTCCTCATTTCCAAAAAGGAGCAGAAATCACTGAGTAATTTGTAATGGTGATTACAGCCTATTTCCAGACATTTGTAGTTGCATAATGCAAAATCTAGAATAAAGATTTACATCCTAATAGTCCACAGAACATTAAGATGTTACGGAGCGTTCATAGCGCAAATGACATAAACAGGGCAGGCAAGGGCCACGTGACAGGATTATTCCATTCTTGAGAAGGAGAGTCATAGTTGCTCTTGAATTTCTTGTGTTATTTTAAATCCTTGGTGTGGTTCTTTCATGCTCCCTTATTTCATCTAGCACTATCCTGTTTTATGTCCTCCATTCCTTTTTTAGGAAGCTGTCAAGCAGCAGACAGACCCCACCCCGAGTACATCCTTGCCTTTGCCATCCACAGTTCCTTCTGAAGAAGAGACAAAAGAGACAAAGTCTAATACACAGGAGATGTTGCCAAGATCTGGCTTGCTGTCACATCCTAGCCCTGGTATGAAATTGAGCATTCACAATGCTGATATAAATCCCAGCACATGCAGTCCCTGAGGACTGAGTTCCACTCTTAGGCAGCGGCTCCCCCCCCCCCCCCAATCTCTTTCCAGCTGCAACTCCTGTACCCCAGGAAAGCAACTCTTGAGGGTAAGAAGACCTTGTAGAAGGGTATTTGATATGGCATGGGGGCCGCAGCTCTGGGTGGGGAGAGTAGAAATGGGAAACACCACCTCCAGCCGCTCATACTAAAACACCATTGGATCCAAGCCAACATTCCCAGTTCGTATTATGTGTTCATAATATTGGGAGTTTCTGCACCTTTAAGTCTGAAAAATGCTGCTCTTTGTAGCCCAAGTTATTCACCTGTCTCACCTGTCCTTATTGTGAGGGCCACTTCACAGCCTTTCATTTTTAAAATGTATACCTAAAATGTCAATGGGATGAGTGTGTCTGTAAATGCACGCATTGCATAAGCAGACTCATGAGAGAGTTAGGAGTGGCTCCTGTTCCTTGATGAGTGCCTATTTGGTGGCAAATCTAGTTTTGCAACTGCATCGTGCATGGAACACCCCTGAGCATTTGGTCAAGCAGTCCCTACCAATGTTGTTTTTAATTAAATTTGTAAATTAGTAGACTACAGAATAGCCTTTGTAGCAGATGCAAAGATATTACTCATAGAACATTTATGACAGACAGAGTTCTCAAAGTTTTACTGCAGTTCCCTAATGGCACCTCAGCATGGTAGGAGAACAGTTATGATGATAAGGGGAAATCATGCTTAACTGCTGGGCACTCAGATGCTAAATTGGAAATATGATTTTTGTTTTCTGCACAGTTCAATATTCAGTGCCGTTGGAAAAAGAAGATACGAAGCTGTTTAAGAAGGTCACTCATTCTTCCTCAGATCAGCCATCGTGGATGGAACTTGCCAAAAAGAAATCTCAAGCTTGGAATGACATGCCCCAGATGATAAAATAGCGCAAGCATTTTATACTGGTAGTAGTTGCTACTTGGGATAATTTAACACACTGTTTAATTAAATTGATGAAAACCAGTTAATCACAATGAAGTCTACAGAGCATCAAAGAGGCTTTAAAACAAGAACATGGAAGAAGAGTTGTTGACCACATGTTTATATGCTTAACCCACTTGAAAGCTATTGTAAAGGCCTGCTTATATCTTGAAGAAGCCTCAGAAAAATATTCTCCTGTGGGGAGGTACTGCTTACTTTCTGCATTTCTTTTCCCCTGCGGTGTGATTTGTCACAAACATGCCTAGAATATTTACTAAAGTTTGTTAAACATTGTTTTACTAGTTAGTAAATTATCCTCTGTACAGATGTTTTTGACCACATGAATCTTACAAGCAATTTCAAACCCAAACGTTAAACAGTAACAACTCTCTATACAGTTCAGTTAGAATTTAATAATAATTCCTCTCTGGAAACACATGTAAAATAAGCTAGCCTCGGAACATCAAACAGAGAAAGAAGAAAAGTGGGTAGTGTTACACAGCATTTATCTCCATTGTACCAGTTTAGTCTCCCAGCCTACTTTATTCATGAGGTCTGATCTGACACTGCTTCAAAAGTGTCATGTGCTCCTTCCTCTACCTCCTCCACACACTTAATTAGTTTGGTGGTAGTGGTGGTGGTTATTTAATCAACACACTTTAAAAGCAACGATTGCACTGGGAGATCCCACGTTTGTCCAGTTCCCAAGTAGGCTCTACATCACAGGGGCAAGAAGGTCCTGCATTTAAAAGACGAGATCTCTGGAGAAGAGGGTATTTGAGGGAGCGCTCTTAATTTTGTGACATGTTGTGGTCTTTGGACGAGAAGCAGGAACTGAGCAGACCTGTGGGCTATAAGATGAAACAGAGTTGACAAAGGGTTCATGCCCAAGAACTAGACTGTAATCTCTCTTATCTTCGTAGCCCAGTATTCCAAAATGCTGGGTTCATACCCTAATCTTCTGTACTACTGGAGAACACTGGCAACATCCGCAGTACTGAGGCACAGCTTTCTAGAGTGTGCATGCTCTTAAGTTTTGCCCATTTACAAAAGATGCCCTTCTCCAGGCTCACACACATCACAGCACAAACTAAAGGTAACATCTGCTAGTACCTGCTTCCTTACCCTGGCAGCTGGAGTGGTCAGAGCTGATAAAGGAAGACATTTGCACTAGACTCACACTGTTGTCCTATACAGAGTTACGCCCTTCTAAGTCCATTGAAGTCTTAGGTCTAGAGGCTTAGAAAGATGTAACTTTGCTTAGGTTTGTACTGTCAGTGTCTGCATTGGTGCTTTTAGATGCAAAATACTAGTCTCTGTTAAGGAGAAAGAGAAGACAGCATTTAAAAGTTTCATATTTAGATGAGACTTTTAAGATGAGACTTTGGAAGACAAAGCAGAAAGTTGTACATTGCCTACCTTTAAAGTACAGTGAAGGATCAAGTTTATATGAATACCTACAATGATTTAAAGTTGTTTGGGGGAGTACCTTTGATTCTGCCCTCCTGTGTTACAGTTAATCTCCAGGGGAGGAGGGAAGGGGTTGTTAGTATGCATTATACTAATGGACAATTTTCCAACTGTGGTTCCTTAGGAACTTTGCAATACTTGCCAATAAAAGAGTAGATTCTATGTGAGAGAATACACACACACTACTGCTGCAGTTTCTTTTACTGTGTTTGAAGGTGTGACATGATGTGGTGTCCTGTAGTTTTGCAGAGAGGCAGTAGAACAATTGGCAGGCTGTAAGCTTTGTATGCGTAAGGCTCGAGGGTCAACCGAGCAGCATCTCCCATTCGAAGGAGCAGCTTCTCACTTTGGAAGGCAAAGCTTGTGTCTGCCCTGGTGTGTACCTGAACCAAAAGCCTTCTACGAGAGACCATCATTTTTAAACATTTCAGATTCAGGATGTGGGTTATATTTCAGGCTGGTTTTATAGTATTGTTGTCAGCCAGAGCTAAAGGAAGCTTAACTCTAAAATGATGTGCCCTTTGGGCAGGTGTGCTTGTGCGTTGAACATCATTTCAGTATTGAGTACCTATATAAAAGGCACATCTAAAATGTGTGCTTTGATGGTTTTCAGCAATACACCTTTTATTACATGCCACCGAATAAGGTTCTAGTGGTGTTATTCCAACAAAAAACCCACATTCTGGCAAATCGGCAAAAGCACTTACTTTCAAACACAGGGCTGCAAACAACAGACAGACTGACAGCAAATGAAACACATGTTCAAAGATCCCCCTTTTCCTGACTGTTATTCAGAGACCTGTTTATAGTTAACAAATACTGGGCTTCATGTCAAACTTAGAACAACATTGGTACAAAACTGTTTCACTTTACATTGCGTCAACCAAACATTTAAATTTGGCAAACCAGGTCTGCAGTACTCTGCACTACTGGGAAAAGTAGCTTACATTTTACATTAATGGCAGGGTGAGGACTTTTAAGACATTTTAATTGCCTTGTAACTGGATTGTACTTTTCATGTCAAAAAGCAATTTAGTGCCCTGTTTTCGTTGTCTAGGAACTGCAGCAACCACTTCTGTGTACTTTTTTTGTTTAGAGGAAGAAATGCGAAGCACTGGTTAGGCCTCGGCTACGTTCCATACAGTAACTAACTGCTAAGTTAAATTGCAACAAAACTAATGAATGTGAAGAGGAGGAGGGATTTTGTTTCCCCCCTGATGTCTAGTAAAAGTGATGGTGCATGTATTCATGGATTGAAATGCAAGACCAGATTTGGACTGGAAACATTTCTGACTTTAACTCATACTCTGTATATTTTAATGATCTATGTTTTTAGAAAGATTTTAAACATTTTGTAGATTTTGAGACTTGCACCATTTCCAGTTTTGCTTAATGTAATATAATCTACCTCCTCCTAACTTGCATTTCTGTAACATGCCGAAATATTTCTAAATATGCTGCTTGGAAGTAAATCCTGGTCAACGGGGTTTACTTCATGGCAAGTGTGTTTAGGACTGCAGCCTAAGTTTTTAGTCTCCACTACATGATTTTTAATGTTGTATAGAGAATTGTAATAAACTTAAGAGTTCAGAATATCTTGTTTGGACATTACTTACTATAAGATGTTGGGTTGACAGATATTAGATATCATCCACAGATGTTAAATGTGATTGAATTCTCGTGAAACCAAGTACAATAATCCTAAAAACTTTCCCCCTTACTCCTGCCTATAGTGTGTGTGTGAAATCTATATTAGACCGTACATTCAGTTTCACACTGACTCTGCCTTGCATTAACTTCTATGTGCTCACAATTGGAGGCTGACTCCAAATAATATGGAAGTGGTATTGATTGGCCTGCTTGCTCTAGGGATGGTTGGTTTGCCTGGCCTAGGATGGACTACTGTCTTTCTCTAATAGGCGTGTTTACAGTTTGTGGATATTCTGTGACTCAAGTTTGCTCCTGGATGCCCAGGTGATATCAGTGAGTAGGACTACCTTTGGAGAACAGAGAACAGACCACTGTCCTCATGGCTTGCTGATCTCAAATCAACTATTGCAGCATATTTATATGAAAGACAGCTCCAGAAATTGAAGCTGGTGCAGAATCTTTGATGGAATAAAGAGTATATTGTTTCAGAGATCTCATGGCTCTGCACTGCCTGCCATTTCATGTCTGGGACACACATTGACCTTTAAAGACCTATATGATGTAGAGTAGGAATATTTTGAGGGTTGCCTTCTATAAAAACCTCTGCCTGGTAACTCAGATAATTCTGGGGAGCCTTTGTCTACTTACAAGATAGGGTGATGGCCATAAACAACAGGCCTCTTCAGTCATCGGGCTGTAACTGTGGAATTGTCTCCTGAGGGCTATTCATGTACCCTGATTGCGAAAAGTTTATATACACATTAAAACCACCAGGTTACTTGATAAATCAAAAATGAGGACAGTTGTTCCTCTTCTTTCCCCCCCAAATGGGACACAAATTGTACTCCAAAATAGTTATAAACCTTTAGCATTAGAGAACAAGTCAAACTTTCTATACATGGATGGGTCATGGCGCACTGATTACTATAATAGTCTGAAAATGGGATTTTATTTTATTTTTTACATCTAAAGCTCAAAACACAGTGTCTCATCTTTTAGCAAAGGAGAGCTCTCCAATGGAGAGGAAATCAGGCTCTACAAGAGATAGACATTGGGCGTAGTGATTTCTGTATATCCTCCACTTTAATCAAGCTTGAACTGGGGTGGAGGAGAACTGTCCATTGCAGGCAGGGATATATGTTTAATGCCTTGCAATTGGCCTTGGCCTTACTAGATGCTTATTTGGGCACACGTTTCTGCAGACAGGAAAACAAGGTTCATTAACATTTTGCATCTCTCAAATCAAAACAACTATCAAGACAAACACAACAAATACAAAAAATGTAAGTCTACCCAATAAGACATACAGCCTGCTCTTCTGCATGTTCACTCAAAAGTAAAACTCCATTGTATTCCATAGAACTTGCTCCCAAGTAAGTGTGTATACAACTATAGCCCAAAGGTACAAAGGCCTTATACATGGATAGTTGCATCCAGTGTTGATTGTTTCTATTAGTCCCTGAAAGAAGCAAATTTAGTGAGATTCTACAGTATGGAATTTTTCTTCGTTTCAGATTTATGCTCTTTGAATACTTTAAATATTTTATGTTATACGGCCTTCTCCAATATATAAGTACAAAAAATTATGTGTTGCCTTCTTCACTGCAGTACCTTTCAGTGCCTGTTTTACTTACATTTTCCAGTTCCCTATGTACATTGGCTCAATTCCCAGCACACCTACCTGTGAATTGCTGAAAAGAGCTTAAGTGGAGGTCATCCAGGAAAATTTTAGTCTATTTCCTTTTCTCAGGAACAACGATTCAAAGAAGTAGTGATTCAGTAAGGGTCCATGGAAAATTTATTCGTGGCAAAGCAAATATGGAAAGTAGATGTCTTCATTTAGATTTGCACTTTCTATATTCTTCATTATAGGTCTACTTCTGCTTTTATCATTAGAAAATGAGATTCCATATTGGTTGGGTTTATTTTGTCTTTATATAAGTCATTTGTTTTTGTGGTAAATAATTTCTGTCATAAATTCTAATGACAAATGTCCTCCTGCTAGGTTGCTGAAACCACCCCAATGATAGCTTTT